GACTCCTTGAGAGCAGGCTCTCATTCCCAGTGGTGCCCTGACATACAGTTAACACAAGAAACACTAAAACATAAACACACAAATCAAATAAAGTATTAAAAGCATTAAGTATCAAAATCCAAAATAACAAGACCCACAGTAAAAACAATATATATAAATCAATGTAAATAAAATCATATTAAAACAGTGTCCAAATCATCTGCTAAACTCACATTTTAACTGTAAAATACTATGTAAAACTGTTTAAATTGAGTGCAGCCAGTTCATTTATTTTATTTTTTTGCAACCTGTTCCATATCTGTAGGGCATAGTAACAGAAGGACATCTTTTCTATTTGTGTATTGGCAAAAAAGGGTTGCAGAACAAGATAATCTTGTGAATGGGTCTGGTATGTCGATGATTTATAACTCAGGAGGCACGTAATATATTCAGGCAACTTATTAAGTAGGGCTTTATAGATGCTCTCTTCTCAGTGTCAGATGGCCAATTGACTTTCTGATGTAATTCACCATGCTGAGTCCTACAGGGATCTCCAGGAACAATAATAATGTCAGCATGACACACTGAGTCAAATGGCTTCAGGATTTTGGCAAAACTAGGAGATACCAGGCCTCTGGGTATGTACTGAGTTTGATCACAATCAGTACAATATCAGTACAAATCAGATAAAAAAACAGAGGAAACAAAGTCCTCATTAACAAACTGGGTGGGTGAGAATGAAGAAAATCCTGATGACTGAATAAATTTCCAGAACGTTGCTGCATTACCATCACACATAGTAAGCCCATTTAGTTTTTTGTATTGCTAAACAACATTTGACTCATAGATGATGAAGGTTTTGCTAATCAACAGCAGATTTATGTGCCCTTTTGCAGGCTTTATTTGTAGCATGTAGCATTTCCACTGATTCATTTGAAAACTCCGGACTATTCCTGTTTTTGACCCTATTCATTAAAAACCTTAATAAAATAGTTTAGCGCAGAATGTGAGTCAGAATGTGTCATGGTAAGTGCAGTCTTACTGCAGTGCAAATCCTTTTAAAACGCCTGTTGTGTGAAGTGTCTAAAGCTTCTCCTAACCACAGATCTTAGCTTGGCTTTCTGGGTTTCTACATTTCCTGATAAACGACAGAGATTGTTAAAGTTAAGTGAAAAGACACCACTCAACATTTTAAAGTCTGTTTGTTAAAATAATATCAAAAAGGCTAGACTTATCAGGCCCTTTGCACTCTAGGCTTGTTTATGAAGAAATTAATTGAGATGGGTTTAACTCATGACATATTTTTCAATTCTTCAGATGCAGAGGTTAACTATTTGAGGTTCAGCTCACCCAGAAGCAAAATTTCAGATTTGTTGTAAGTGGACAGCAAGTGAATGATGCTGGTAATAGAACCGGATTTTGAACAAGGGGGCCAATAAATTCCAATAACCAGCAGGCTACCACAATGATCACCTTTTCATAAAGAGACATTTATGCCTAGAAATTCAAAAGACTTTGCTCCAGACACAGAATTAACGAGTGACAAGAAAGCATTTTTTTTCCACAAAAATTCCCACACCTCCCTCTCTAGTAGACCTGTCATAGCAAAATACATTGAATCCTTCAAGTGCAATGGAATTGCCTAATTTAGTAGTTAGCCAAGTTTCTGAAAGTACAAGAATATCAACATTTGTTTGTTGAACCCACACATAGTCGATCTTTGATTGTAGGCTGCAAAGCCTTTGGTAAGCAGGATGGGAAGATTCTTAAAATAACATCTGTACAGAGGTGACGCCATGGCAGTCTAAATGGGCCTAGCTGAAGAAGAACATCATTAAAACAATGAACTGAAAAGTTTGGTTTGATGACATTGATTAAATCTGGACCAGATCCAATGGGACACGGTTGTTTCTGTGATTTCCTGTACAGACTGAAGTTTGGTCGAGAGCTCCTAAACAGTCGTCTTGTCTGCGGCTCTTTGTTACCGCCCCCTGTTGCTGCCTCCTCCCCTCGTCCCTTTTCCAGGCGAGGCGCAGTGCATCTCAGTCGAGCCTATTTACTTTACACATTGCAGCCTGGCATCTGAGCACCAGGCGCAACAGCACAGAAATGATGTCACACCAAGTTATTTCAAGGCACGCTCTGTGTGTGTGTGTGTGTGTGTGTGTGTGTGTGCGCGCTTAAAGTTTTAATTTAACTGTCAGGGCAGGTTTGAGCAATAGGTATTTGCTCAAGCCTGTTTTGTGTGTGCAGCTGTGTATGTGTGTGTAAATGTCTTTACTGTGTGTGTGTGTGTGTGTGTGTGTGTGTGTGTGTGTGTTGGCTCTGTTTTTCTGAAGGTTTGTATGTGGCCTTTTTTAAAGTGTACGCATCAGTATGTGTATATACGCTGACCGGCCACTTTATCAGGTACACCTGTTCAACTGTATAGATAAGTTCAACTTTATTGTCATTACACATGTACAAGTACAAGGCAATGAAATTCAGTTTAGCATCTAATCAGAAGGGCAATAACAGCAGAGCAGAGTGCGCGGTATCTACAGTATGTACACTCGGTACTAATTTACCAATAGATATGTACAGTTGATATTTCCACTAAGATATGTAGGGTAATGTACAATATACAACAGACTTTATGGATTTAAATTACCAAGTGATTGAATGTCACTTCTGGTTTTTTCCTGTTGTCGCCACAGCGAATTGTTACACTGACGATGCCCTTCCTGACACAACCCTGACTCGAACTCGGGCCGCAGTGGCAAGAGCGCTGAATCCTAGCCACTCGTCTATATGGATTTAAATTACAAGTAATGGATAAAATACATTAAGCTTATAAAACACTAGTGCAATGGGATGAAATGGAATAAGAATATGAGCTACATGAGTGAACAGTTCAATGGATGTAAATAGTGCAAAGATAAATATATACTCAGTATCTGCATATGTACAGTACAGAGTGCAAATGAATAACAGAGCAGTATGCTGTGAGTATGTGCAGATTAACAGGTCACTTCAGTGTTACAGGTAACAGAAATGTATTGCATTAGTCCCAGGAGGAGAGATGAGAAGGGGTGAGGTGTGTGTAGTGGTATAGAAGAAGGCAGTGGGGAGTCAACGGGGGACAGAGTACAGTAAGGAGACGGCTGTGGGTAAGAAGCTGTTTGTTCCTGAGTCTACTGGTGAAATTCAGTGCAACACTTCCACCTTAACATCTGTGTTTATGAAGCTCAAAATGTTTTCGTTTTTGGTGAAATTGTCATAAATGTATAAATTCAATTATGTCTATTATTGAGGTCAATGTTAAAGGTGGTGGTGTTGTACTACATTATATTCACAGCTGTCTCTATATTTGTCCTCCTCAGCTACATACATGAGAGGGTCAGAATATTAGGAAAACCACAATATATAATGTAGTGCGGTACAACACATACTGTACCTCCGTGTTTATGTGTGAGGTAGTTTGCATTTTTCTGAATATGCATGTGCATATGTGTGTGTGTGTGTGTGTATGGGTGCACAAACGTGTATATGTGTCTCTTAGACAGAATCCACCCCCCAGCCTTTTCCCAATCTGTTCCCTTCATGGATTCTGTTTTTTGCTCTGGATGAGGCAGTCTTTCCCATTGACTCAGCCATGCAATGCAAATAGCCCCAAAAGTATTCAAAGAGCATGGAAATGCATGTGCATACACTATATGTGTGTGTCTGTGCAAAAGACAGACGGAGAGAGAGTGGCAGCTACAGTAGTGTGAGTTTGTGTAAACACAGAGAAAACAAAGGCAGAACTTGTATATTGTACCAGTTTAGATATTAGCTGCGATACCTAAAGTTGATTTAGATGTACTGTTAGTTCTACCCAGTAACGGAGCATGACTGATTTACTTGTTTTGATTCTTTATGAGCCGTGGATTTATTCTTTGGTTTCACTGTCAGTTTTTAATTGTCGTCCTTGGAGCAGTTTGGTGTCCAGTGTGGTTTATAGGCACGTGTTTCGGTGATTGGTGGAAATTTCTCAGTTAGGATACTATTAGTTATTTTTCACTTAATTCTATACTAGTCAGTCAGGATACTAAATTTGTAGTCACACATACTTTTGATCTGCACTAGACCACACAATAAACTGTATTATAGGTAATAGTTAAGCCATACTGTGAGGTCTGCTATAGTGAGGACTTGATTTTAACAAGTCATTCCTGCCCACTTTTTAGCATAGCACTGGCAATGCTGTGATGTTGTGTTTAGGTAATATCACTTTTAAAAAGGCATAGTTGTTAGATAATTATGATTTGTTTCAACCTGGCATATTTCCCATAAATGTGCTATTGTGGCTCTAATACTGATTTTGCACTCTCCACTTCGGCAAGCCGCCAAGTTGCCCCAGATGTACAGTGGATCTTGATAAGTTAGCTTAGTGGTTGGCTACTTTCTCTTTACTTTTGATCTGACTCAGTCACAAGTGTTTGACATGATTCTTGTAAAAATCTTGTAAAAAAAAGAATTTGGAAAGCTGCTGGAGGCTCATTCTATTTATCTCAGTATAATCTTTGTATTATCTCTTTGCTTTGTGCAAGTCCTGATACAACAAATGTGACAGTTGCAAAAATTAACATGACCTCAAAAGCCACATTGCTGCCAAACAAATCAATGAAATAAGCCTGAATTATTTTTCAATAACTTGTATCCAGCAAACATGATCTATTCTCATTGTTCTGTCTCTAAGCTCCAAAATGAAGCCATGGTTTTTTCTGTACATTCAAAGCCAAATTAATATCTATTATTGTTCTTGTTAGTAAACCCTCAATAGATAATAATTTCAACAAAATCTGAATACTTGGCCTTTCCCAACTACAGCTAGATACTGCAAAGTATCTGTTATATGAAACCATAAGACTTTTCTCCAAACACCGGATCATTTTTCCACTGTTTACAAGTGTCCATTGTTCAGGATTGTGTAAATCAGCTGTTCTTAGTGGGGATAAAGCAAATTGACACCTCTCCCCTCCCTTCTCATCTTTTCCCAGATTCCTCGGTGCTTGTGTCGGTGTCGTGTGCAGCCTTGTTTCCCATGGACCTCAGGGTGGGAGAGCGGGGGATCCGCCCCGGTTCGGACACGGCGCTCCTCACCCCGCTGCACCCACCTTTACTCCTTACCCCATTCTCCTCTCAGCCCTGCCCCTCATTCTCTCAACAGCAATTGCACCAACAAATCAGGGTAAAAAATAGAAACAGAGACCTGTTTGTGTTAGATTAAGTCTAATGTTAACTGTTTGAATGGCGTCTTTAAAAATATAATTCACTGTATTATATTATGTGCTGATGTTGTGTGACAATTTGTATATATATATATCACTATAATACAAGTGTGTGTGGGGGGGGGGTAGTTTAATATGGAGCAGAGGAGGCAAGAGCAGGAACACCAAGAGAAACAGCAGGAGCTGCAGCAGCTGAAACACAAAGACAAAAGTCAACAGAGTGAGTCTGTTCTCACACACACACACATTCAAATTCAATTACACTAACATGTTAGTGCAAGTTTCAGTTTATGTCTGATTATTTTAACAAAGGTTTATATAAACCTGTTTATAAAAAAATAACCCAGAGTGCTAATCATGGCCAGACAGGAAAGCCCCTTTGAGAGATGTTACTCATCTTTCTGCTCTTTGAAAGCTGTTTGCTTTGAAATGAGGGCTAAGTATAGCTCAACAAGTAGAGCTAAAACAGTGGAGCTAAATATAGCTTTGTCTCTGTGCACATAATGTCATTGGGTCAATATTGACCTGATCACTCCTAGCACCTCCTATCACTGTGTGTACACAGACACACACACACACACAAATGGCAGTGAGCATACTCTCTGATAAACCTTAACACTGCATCACACAAATACATCCATATTATACAATCAGCTATTGTAACAACCATGCATGCATGTATGGCCTGTATGTTTATGCTAATATTCCCCACAGTATTGTTGAGTTGTCTTTGTCATATAGTTTAGTATTAGTAACTAACGCAAGTCCTGCACAAATATGCAACACTTACAGTGAAGTAGTTGGTGAGTCCTTCTAGGTTTTTGATTGGTTGTTTGTGTTATTGATTGACAGGTGCAGTGGCCAGTTCCCTGGTAAAACAGAAACTTCAGGAGGTGATTCTTAAGAAGCGGAAACAGGCAGAGCTGGAAAGGACGAGCTCTAACACACTGACTCCGGCTCTTGTTGCATACAGGTGGCACAAAATGCAGGCACACGCAGTATGAATGGAAATTATTAAAATAATAAATATGCGTCATGAACACATTAATTATATGACATCTCGATCTACTGCACATTAGTAAATGACCCCTTGAATCTTTGTCATAAACATGTGTCACATGAGGTATGACTGTTTACCTGTGTGGGTGTGTTTGTGTGTTGTGCTTTCCCAGGAAGCTGGGCCCAGACCCAAGTGTATCCTCCCAGCCTCTGGTCTCATCTCCGCTGCAGCCTTCCTCTGATGGTTCAGAAGGGACGCCATTACGCAGAGCAGGTAAGACATCTGATATCCACTGTCACACAACCAGAGGTGTGGACTGAAAAATCACAAGTTAAATGTCCAGGATACATGTGATGAAATTCAGTAAATTCAGTAACTAGTGGCAGTTTTTATTTTGTGTGTGCCATATTGAATTTTATAGGATGGGTGAAAAGTAACTAGGCATTAAAAATTGGTAATAAAGTCCATACTTCTGTGTGAAATATAAAATCCTATTTACTATCGTCTATTTAGAGACTGTTTTCATCATGACTCCAGTAATACTACAAGTTCTATAGCCAATTTTAATACCTAGTTACTTTTCACCAACTCTGTATGTCTGCATTCAAATGGAAAATCTTGGTCTTTTACCACAAACCTTTTCCTTCACACTGAAGTCTGGTGAAACTGTTTATGGGTTTAGCTATTCTTCCCATTACAGTATAGTACAGCAACGATCGATTACTGATCACTCTGAGATATTTGATTCTGTGCCAGTCATATTTACATGCACAGTGGTTCAAGTTCATACAGTGGCACAGACTGAAAGCATAGCATGTGTGGTGTGTACCATCTGGTGTGAGCCTCACGCTCATGTCTATACCAGGTGCATGTTCACTTGTGCACTGGAAGCACATGGTGTACAAAAAGCACACAGAGGAGCCTATAGAAACACCTTGGAGAAGGGAAAAGTACAGTCCAAAACCCTGACAAACAGTACACATTGAGGGGATAACTGGCTACACGTGAAACGTATGTGAATTAGAGAGAGACGGAAAATGAGATACTTAATACAGTACTTTTATTTTTATTTCAAATATTTGTTTATGCTGTCAGTCTGTAAATATAATACAATTAAGGGTGACTGAATTGCATTTAGTTGTTTCACTGTCAGAGTCCTGGCATGCTGCCTCACTGTCCCCATCATGAATGTGGTGGAGCCACTTTTAATGTTATGAGTAACACCTGTGCCTTTTCTGCTGTAACTGAGGATCTAGGTTGAATCAACATTCTTGACCTTATGTTTTTACTGTCAGCAGCAGGATGAAGTAAACCGTTTCCACATAACATGAAATCCCTACATTGCTTTAATTTGTTAGCGTCTGAGCCCAATCTGAAGGTGAAACACAAGCTGAAGAAACACCTGAACACCCGCAAGAGCCCACTCACCCGGAAAGAGAGTGCCCCGCCCACCGTCAAACACAGAGTCCCTGATGCACTGGGTCAGTAAACACACTCACAAAAATGAATGTGTTAATGCATTATTGTTGTTTAATATGTGATCATTTCAGTGAATTAAAGGCTTTAATCCTTTGTTACTATGATTAATAAAATGTTTCCCTCATGTGGTGCAATATGATTACAATCAAATATAATTTAAATATGATTAAGAAGCTTATTCTAAACTCATGTACTGCTGCTCCTCCCTCTCCAGACTCATCCCCCAGCAGCAGTAGCACTCCAGTCTCTGGCTGTAGTTCTCCTAATGACAGTCTGCCCAATGAAAACGGGCTACTGCCATCTGCTGGCGGCCTGTCACATGAGGTTAGACACACATCACACATCATGTTGTCTTTTCAGAATAAAAGTAAAGCTAACTACTTGACAAAAGAAGTTCAACACCAGATTAACCAAAGCACTTTAAATAAACCATGTTTTTACACTGAGAGTGTTTTTAAAAACTGATTTAAGAAAATGGTTATTCACGATGCTTAAATGAAGTTGGATAATTAGAGAGAAAATATGACAGACAAAAGATAAATGGAAATACTTCCTTTTTTGCCATCCAGACAGGTTCTTTTGTCCTTGATATGTAAAAAAAAACACGATAATTTTAGCAAGCAAGAACATGGTTTGATGGAAAACAACAAAATAGAGCTGTTTCACGTACATGAACTGTGCTGTGATGCCTGGTAATGACATGTTTAAAGCAACAACAAAATGTATGGGAGCACTGAATATTTGTTATCCATTGATACATAATGCATTTAATCACAGCCAAAAGCCAGAGCAGAATGGCATCTGTCACACCTGCTGTGGATGCTGGACTCATGAATACCTAGTGTGACAAGACAGGACACTGGCTTAGCTTAGGTTAGAAAGGTATATTGTTAAGCGCACAGCTCTGTTCAGATCTGAATATAGATGTATTATTTATGCATAGTAATGATGTTTGCCATTTCCAGGCCCAGAAACTGCTGCTCAGAGATGGTACCCTAGCTAACTTCACCATCCAGAGTCCCTCCACTCTGCCCACCATCACACTGGGGTTACCGGCCAACGCCAGGGTAAACACTGAAATGCACCAGATGTTTGTTGTAACAACTCATTAAGTTCCATCTTTTCCCTAAAACATGTTCAGTGATATTTTGACCAAACTAATACAGTGATCTGCTCCTTTGAAAACGCATGGTAAACAGTTTTGTTTGTATTATAAAGGCCGTCTATTTACAGATTTCTTATGTTGAAAGACAAGTTTTAAAGACTCGCAGCTGGATTAAAAGGCTTGTTTTAAGACTGAGTAAAAAGTTCACATAACATGAGAGAATGAAATATACCCACTGATATCCTGATTTAAACAGGAAATACATCAGATGCAGGAAGCATGGTCCCCTTAAAATGATTAACTATGACATTTTTACTTGTGAGTTTTGCAATACTGTATATTGAAACTTGAGGGACTTGAGAATTTTCTTGTCAGATCAGTTGGACAAAAAATTTTGTCTTCAGAACCCATTAACCTCTCTCATCACATCATGTACACTGTTAGCCTACTGTATTAAGCTATGATATCATGTCAGCTAGCACGTTATCTGTCTGTTTGCAGGCAGAAGGAGAGCTGTCCTCTCTGAAGGTCGGCCGGGTGCCAGTGGTTACAGCCGGAGGCTCGCAAGTCTTCATCCCCCTGAGCAGAGAGGACCAGGCTGGGCAGCTGAACCCTCACCTGCCTGTAATCATCCTAGAGCCCTCTGGACTGGTACACACACCACTGCTCACTGGTGAGACACGCAAGTACACACACTCAGTATATGTACAGTAGGCGCTCAAGCAAAAGCTGGGAAGTTCCACAATTTAGGCTGTTGAAACACTGATAATGAAATTTTACTTATAGAACTTGTAACTCATGCATCTCACACAAGAACTGTAATTACATTAAAAGCCGCTGAGTAGGCAGGTTTTGTTTTGTCTGAAATGTTAGAGCACCACCCAGTGGGCATATTTATAATAATCATTTTTGATCAATCGGCAAGTGAATTACTTCAGCATTATGTAGTATTGAGACTTCGTACTTTGGTCCATATCCACATGCATTTTTTCTCTTCCAGTTCAGTGTCTTTACTATTTTCTTAAAGCAGCAAATGCCAAGTCACTTGCGTTATAACATTGGAAATAAACACTCACTAGTCAGGACCACACCTACGTGGAACTTTGTGCTGGTGCTGCTTGGTGACTGTTAGAGCAGTTTGGGTGAAGGCTTCTGGTGAATCCACGCAGCACTCAGGTGTGGCGGACCCCCCATAAGAAGCAGGAAAAAGAGTAGGAGGGAAGATGAGAGCTACAAGTGGGTAGCACAGACAGAAGGACGGGATAGATGCCAAGGGCAGCAGGGTTTTACAGGAAATGAAAGCACACTGCAGGTGGGGAGTGGAAGTATTTATAAGAAGGTAGCAGGGGAAGGTGCACCTTAGGGGCATGGTCCTGCTCCTAAACCTCCAATGTTCACCTTCATATATTGTAAACTTAAAGAAGCTATAACATGAATGACATTTTCAGTCAGTTTACAAGGAAGCAGGGGCTGATTTTACTATGCAATAGTTAGTGTTTTTTTGTGTGCGTGTGTGCATGATAGTCCGTCTCAGCTCCCATAAACCGATTATTTTTTTGTTCCCTATTCTCTCTGTCACTCAGCAGTTCCAGGCCTCGACTCTGTCCCACTACAGTTTGTCTCCCAGTTAGACCACCTGTCTCCTGGAGGCACACAACCCCACAAGCCCCTGAGCAGAACACGCTCAGAACCTCTTCCCCAGAGCCCGAGGACCCTTCACACACACTTCCTCCAGCAACAACACAACACACAGCTACTGGAGAGGCTTAAACAGCAGACTCACCTGGGAAAGGTCTAAATAAACTCTGCATTTATAAAAACGTATTAATAAATATGATTCTACTGTATCTTGGTGTTTTGACCTCATTCATAAATTTACTAGGGCTACAGTTAGGGCAGCCATATTATCACTGCCTTAATTCCACATTTGCATCAGGTCAGATTTATATTTGCAGCCTGTGAATTTATTCACGTTAGTGGCAGCAAATGTTGTATTTGCTTTGGCTTGTATTGCTTTTTATTTATTTTTTTTAGAAGAACATCATTTACTTCAGGGGTTTTCAGACTGAGGCACACCTCTCTGAGAGCCTGGGAGAGTTTCCAGGAACGTGAAGGGAACAATTTGAGGCAAAAATCTGCTCCTTCTAAAAGTCATAACACTCAGACCTGATACATATGTGACTGTAAAGGCAGTTGTCCTCTGTCTCTAAAGGCAGAGGTTTGTGTCCCTACACAAAACTCTTCTCACTTGTCAAAACCACTTCAGCTTGGTTAAATCTTCTGGTAACTGAAACAGAAATTTATGAAAAAGGTCTAAGTCAGCATTTCAGGTGAAAAACATCAGTGCACAACACCAGCGTTACATCACCAGTGTGTTGCTTGTGAATTCTTCTGTTTTTATTTCTATGAGGCTTCATTATTTCTTGTGTATTTGTGCCAAATTAAATGCACATGTTCTGTATGTGCGCATACAGCTGATGTCTAAGTCCAGTGAGAAGCCCAGACTGCATCAGATACCCTCTGAGGATATGGACTCAGAGGATGGCGGCGGGACTTCGCCCCCAGAGCCGACCTATCAGAGCAGAGTGAGGGCAGAGTCACTGAGGGAGGTGGACCCTATAGTCTCCAAGAGCCACAAAGAGCAAATGAATCTGCAGCATGCACTCATACTCAACCAGGTATGAAAACATAGTATACTTTAACAGGAAACACAGAAAGCCTGAAGATAGATGGAGTAAAACCATACAACTGTTTCACTCAGCAGTCCTGTAGATGGCAGCCTAATATTTCCACTTGATGTTGCATGGTTTTGTGGTTTGGCAGCTACTCATTCCATCAAAGTGGCTATTTCAGCATTATAATGATGACAGGGTATGTGTACTGTAAGCTGAGCTATTACTGCTTTCAGTAAATTTGTCAGTCATTTATCAAACTAACCACATAGTCAGGAGTTGGGCTTTGGTAGAATGTATAACAAGACTTGACAACAAAAGTTGTCAGTTCAGTTTAGTGTTGAAGAAACAAAGTAGTCACTGATGTTTCCAAGGTGAGGTGCAGGAAACGGGATTGAATGGTTTTAATACCTCAACTATTAAGGAAGAGATCAGATTTAAAAGTTGCCTCCATATTCAGAGCAGTATAGTTGACAGTGACGGACCCAGATTGACCTGATGGTACAGCTCAGATCAGATGTGCCAAATAAAACAATCTCACATTTTAAGCTGGAGGACATTCTGTGACTGTCAGCTAACACATCACTTAGTGGGTTTTACAGGGATATACGGGTGCATATGCTTTGAGCACCAACACTGACCAGGACTTTGTGGTTTAGACTAAGGCCCCTGTGCGTTCCACAGCTTCTGTTCAACATGTTTGTCTTTAACACTTATGTTTATGGTTAACTTTGAGTCGTATCTGACTTCACACCCATCCCCGCTTTTTCTATAGTCATTGCTGTGGGAACAGCAAAAGCAGCTGCAGCAGCTGCATCGACAGATGGAGACCCTGGCCGTACCTGTGTTACGCAGCAGCGGCAGTGGCGGGGTTGGTAGTGGGTTGGGCGTCCATCGCCCCCTGTCACGTACGCAGTCATCCCCAGCCTCCACCTCTCTCACTCTGCCTGAGAAACCCCTGAGCTTGGCTACACAGGATACCAGCAGCAAACCACGCTTCACCACTGGTGAGTCAGACGTGCTTACATAGTAATATAATAGGTATGTGTACATTTCAAATACAGGGTGCTCTCTTATGGAATACAAGGAATACAGTAGTGTGGCATTTTTGGAAATATGCTTAATCACATTGTTGCCAAGATTCAGATGAGAAAACTGACATCAGTCAGGTCTTAAGGGTCCACTGGTTCCTCTCCAGGAAATTGCTGGTCTTGTCAAGGAATAATTTCAGCACATACCGTAACTCCCTCCTCTAACAACACATGGTTGTTCATTTCTTTTAGTGTCTGGATTAAGCAAATGAGACAGTGGGTTAACTAGTAAGGCAGGCAGTTCAAAAAATTGAGCTCAGTCCTTTGTGTGTGTCTGTGTGTATGTGTGAGAAGGCCTGGTGTATGATTCTCAAATGCTGAAGCATCAGTGTACATGTGGAGACAACAGCAGCCACCCAGAGCATGCTGGGAGGATACAGAGCATCTGGTCTCGACTACAGGAGAGAGGACTCAGAGGACAGTGTGAGGTACAGTGTGACACAAGTCTGCGTGCACACACAAACACACACATTTCTATAGTTGTAGGACACACATTGGCATAATGCATTTCCTAGCCCCTTACTCTAACATGTCTAACCCCAACCCTTAACCTAAACCTAATTCTAACCCTGCAAAATTCACCCTGTTGTCTTCGCAATGTCTCACAATGATAGTATCAAACTAAAATTTGTCCACACGAACACAAAAAGACACACATACAGATGATAGTAGTCTGGCATCAGCAGTGTTGTTGAGGAGATGCTAATTAACCTGGACACTGATATTGTCTTTCTGCTTCTTGTCTGTTCACATCTCATGTGAATGATGACATGGGGCAGAAATTTAACAAATGTTATTTAAATCACTTTCTAACCTACTGACAAAATTTAGACTTTGTCTCTCTGGAAATAAAAAGCATGAGTTTACAGGTACAGTACATGAGATCGTGTTGGAACAGAATCTGGCTGTCTATTTAAGATTATTATTCATTACATATTCTCCATATGGATATGATATATGTGTAATGTCATGGTCCTGACCTTCTACCATGTACTGTAGTTGCCTTCTTTTACAGTGACAAAGTGCAAGAGATTAAAAACGCTGTGTCTCTATAGAGCATTCGAGGTCGTAAAGCCACTCTGGAGGAGCTGCAGTCTGTCCACACAGAGCGCCACGTGCTGCTCTACGGCACCAACCCACTCAACAGACTCAAACTGGATAACCGCAAACTGGCTGGTATGCTACACATCAGACTGACAGATTTGAGAACTCTAAACATGTACTTTTATTTGAAGCCAAATTAAACATGACCAGGAGCATCAAAACAATGATGTCCAGTTCTTCTCTACAACAGAATTAAAGCTTTATCTTATTCTGCTATTCTGACAAAAAGTGTTTGTATTTTTGTCCTTGAACTGTTCATTTAATTAAGTTTATAAAAAATGAAAATCATGTAGTGTAGCGTAGTGTACCAACGGTTCTCACATACCATGAATTATCTAATTTGGGGGATTTTGAAAGGTCAACCTATGCCTTTAATTTTCATTCATCTTCAGAGTATATCCGTATTGTATTGAAAAAAAGTTAAATATATGTTAATGAATAAATAATTTCTATGCTTCTGTTTCCTCAGGAATCCTCTCTCAAAGAATGTTTGTGATGTTACCATGTGGGGGAGTAGGGGTAAGAGAAAAGATGCAGTACAAGCTAATGCAACTCCATTTTTGATCAGAATTCTCCAAAGCTTATGAATGCTGTACAGTTCATCACAGTCATAGCATTGATGAAAGTTGATACAGTTTCAAAGAAGAGCAACAAAGAAAATCACAAGAGACGGACATAAAAAGAGGATATTAAAGAGTAAAAGAGAGTTTGCTTGACCCATTGCTAACAACTGCCTGACAGTCCATGTCAGACCATGACAAGTCAGATTAACGAGAACAATATGTCCGTGACAAAGGATAAAAGAAACTCCTCATAATTCTTTGTCAAGGCCAGATAGACACTCATTCCAGTTTGTGAACAAACAGCAGAAAAAAAACAGAATGTAGAGGAACTAGGAAATATAGATCTGCCCTCGAAATGGAAGAGGAAAGCTGGCATTTTTATTCACATGACAGGTGTGGATTGGTTTCATTCTTCTCAGGATTAATTCAGCAACAAATATTCTTAACAGTTCCACACTTACACATAAGTGTAGATAGATGTATGTTTTTATCAGTTAATCATTCCGATCGGTAGGTTGATAATGACACCATCTGGAACGAGTCACACACCTCTACTGCGTCGCGCTTGGCGGCAGGCAATGTTGTGGAGCTGGCCTTCAGAGTGGCCAAAGGAGAGCTGAAGGTGAGAGACAGCACCCTGCTGTCATTTGACACTAGCGGCAAAACAGTGAGGATACATTTAGTTGCCTCAGCCTCATTTTTTTCATTTCTGTAGCAGTTTCTTGTTTGAGTCATCTTCCTTACATAACATAGTCTTCCCTAGAAATAACGGACAAATTCAAGTTTAGAGATGAATTATTCCAAATCACATTAAAGTCAAGACTCACTACAGACTTTTACATGACTGTATTGACCATTTGCCCCACACGAGGATATGAAAGCAATAATACACCAAGATGTGTCCCCATAAATAGTTTGGGACCTCGCGTTATTGTGAAGTAATTCTAGAGTTTGTATCCACTGCTACCAGGGTTTTGTTCTAATATGACGACTTCTAGGACCTAAAAGATGAGTGGATTTCAGAGAAGTGTTTTCCTGCCCATTTATGGCCTAAATATTCTTCCTGGTCCTGCTCACAATGATTAGAGTCTGGAATAAACATGACGTTGTTTGGGTTTATTCTAATTGGTCAGGTGTAAATATACAACTGGCAAGAGGTTTTTATTCCCCCCAAAAAAGTACAAGGCAGGCAGAGGATGAAAAAACAACAAACACCCCCCTAAGGCTTGATTTGTACTGAGCACTGCTGTACACGGCCAATACGCTCCAACTATAGTACAATCAGTGGTGGAAGAAATACTCAGATTGTTTACTTAAATAAAAGTAGCAATTCTACAGTGTAAAATACTTAAAATTAAAAGTCCTGCATTCAGAAGTATAAAAGTATACTTAAAGAACCAAAAATACTCATTATGCAGAATGGCACATTTCACATGAACGTTTATTATGTTTTGATGCATTACTGTGTATGTCACATCTAATGTTGCAGCTGGTAACAACATTATATGCTTATAATTTGAGTTAGTGCTGGGTACCGATAAAGTGTTACAATTATACTGTATTTTGTTTTATTAATATGAAAATGAACTAGAAACTAAAGTAATCAAATAAATATAATGCAGTAAAAAGTACAATATTTGTCTCTAAAATGTAGTGAAATCAAAGTATAAAGTAGCAGAAAATGAAAATAGTCAAAGTACAGATATCCTAAAATTGGGTTTAAATACACCAGTTCTGAGTAAATGTACTTTACACCACTGACTGCTACAGTACAACCAGTCCACTTCAGAAAAGCCATTAGGTTTTCGTGCTACATAGAGAATGTATACAGTATAAACAGATTTGAATGGCCTCCATTGTCTCTGCTTTGCCATAATGCATTTGAGGTTATGTATTAATGACTTTTAATGATTGTGATAGTAAATTGAAAGTTCAGACTAGTGGCTTTTAAAATAGTGAAGTTAAATATGAAGTAAATCTGAAATTCATCTGTGTCCCAGTATGTTGTAAAACATTCAGAGATTGTAGTTTCTCAGCAGTACATATACAGTAAAACTCTGATTAACAGCTCTTCTTCTTCTGCTTAGAATGGCTTTGCTGTGGTCAGGCCTCCCGGGCATCACGCAGACCCCTCCAGTCCTATGTAAGTGTACATGGTGTGTGTGTGTGTGTGTGCTCATCAACAATGAATTAAATCTGAACATAAGCTCACATTTCTGACTGACTGCCAACCCACAGCCACAGAGCCTTTCCAAGCATCTTATGAATATACATCACTCATGATACAGTGAAGAAAAATAACAAGTTATAGGACCTTCAGCATTCATTAAGTGATTACCATTTTCTGTACTGGTATCCACTGTGTCTGTCTCAACAGGGGGTTCTGTTACTTCAACTCTGTGGCCATAGCTGCCAAGCAGCTCCAACACAAGCTCAGTGTTAGCAAGATCCTAATAGTTGACTGGGTAAGATGGACTGTTAACTGTGGCCTCATACTGCTGTTGAACACCTACTGTGAAATTCCTCCAATATTCCTATTGTGTGTACTTAGAACAACAGTTCTTTGTGGTGAATGGATCTTCTGTGGTGTTGCTATGTATGATATGTCTTCCTTCATCCTGTTACTAGGATGTTCACCATGGTAACGGCACCCAGGAAGTGTTCTACAGCGACCCCAGTGTTCTCTACATCTCGCTTCACCGCTATGACAATGGGAATTTTTTCCCTGGCAGCGGGTCACCAACTGAGGTGGGTGACATCCTGCACGCTTTGTAGCCCTGTTCTGAGTAATTGTACCACAAGAATGAAGTCCGTTTTGAACAAAATGTTCGGTTTTAGGTTGGTTCTGGAGCAGGTGAGGGCTTCAATGTGAATGTAGCATGGACAGGAGGACTGGACCCACCCATGGGAGATGCTGAGTACCTCGCTGCATTCAGGTAGAAACTACTACTGCTCTGTTGAAACGTAACACAAGCTTATGAGAAAAAGTGGAGATACATATCAGTGACAAAAGAAAAACTGACAAAGTCTCAGTTGTTCTTTTACAAACCTCCAGAAGGCTTCATTGCTCCCTGTGCAACTATACTGCAGTGATAAACATCATCTCATAACAAAAATGTAAGGACAGGAATATGTTTTTGACACCAGGGAACATTGCTGGATTTGTTTGAGGTGTGTAGCACTGACTGCAGGTAACTATTGTTGTAGTGCTTCAAGCCACTCAGTTTTGACTCTGCCTGTGAAAACCCTCTGTTTGAAGGCCTGTGTACCACTTTGCCCTACCATTCAGTCCTAAAGAGAACTGGGACACCCCTACCACTACATATGAATGCACAAAACAGAGAACTAGGGGCAGTGGGACTGAGCCTAAATGCAGACACAATGGATACAATCATTTTCAGTTGTTGCTGTTTTAGCATGCTGACAAAGTAAGGCCAGTATTAAGGAGAGCAGATAGTTCATCTTTGTGTTTTAAGTGTGAAATGTGACAGGTTAAACAAAATCAAAAATAGCCTACATTTAGTCCACTGTCCCAAAGGTTTTGTCACTGTCTGTGTTCCAGTTTTTATTGATCAGAATAAGGATTTTCATCTGAGCTGGAATCAGACAGTTTCTCTCACTTCCTTTACACTGAGCCACAACAAACACATAGGCCGATCAGGGGCCCAGCTTCACTCTGTCGCTGACGCACTTCTTGCGTAATTAATAATCCTTGTCATTTGGAGAGCACGTGTGCGGTGCTCCTGGGTTCCCTCAGAACTTTACAATAAATGGTCTCTAGGTCTTGTGTTTGACACATTGCAGACTGCTACCTCCTGCTTGTGGGTTGGATAATAGTCACTGGTGGGTGTGTGGCATCAGTAAAGGATCAGCAGTGTGGGCTTTGGCTGTCTGGTGCAGCCAACCCCACGAAAACATGGGCAACCACATTGTTACTGGAAAAGGGGCACAGTGGCAATGTCGCCGACGTAAAGGAGAGGGGTGGGGGGCATACATACAAGCATGCATATGCACAAGTATGCACTCTCACGCATACACCCATCAGGTGGGTGGTCCATAAATCAGAGACTGCTGAAATAACAAAACAGGCAGATGGCTTTAGCAATTATCTGCCTCAGTGTGTTTAGTTGGTGTCATCACTGTGTACTTCTAATGAAACACAATCATATAAATTCACTGTGAGATTTTTTCAAACATATACTGTTCATTCGTGGAGCTGTAGATGTTAAAGCCAGAGACCCTAGGTGATAAAGGAGACCAAAATATGTTTTAGAAAGTATTTAATTAAATTGAGTTGAACCAGTCTCTACAGATCTAAAAAAGAATTGAGAGGGGTGTGCCTCAAGTTCAAAGGAAAGGAAAAACTGGTTCAGAGGATATTTTTTTTATTGCATAATGCAAATCATATGGCCTAGTTTTCAAATCTGGATTTAATAGACATTTTACTTCTCTGTTTTCAATCTGCCTGGAGACCCAGATGGTGAGAGCATAGTACATCAACACTTTTCAGATAACTGTCAACACAGTTACAGAAAATAAAATGAATTTTAAGATGGGATGTGATTTGGGACCACAGATTCCAGGCACAACTTGAACTGGATGCAGCAGACGGCACAGAAAAAGCATTTTTCCTTTCATGGAGTCATACTTGAAAAGGCCCTGGCCTCCCACCCACAACTTGTGCACCATGCACTCCATTGTAACTAAGACTATGTTCACACAATGGGCTGAAGTGACCCAAATCTGATATTTTTGGACCCTATGAGACCCAGATCAGACTTTATTCATGGCAGTTTGAACAGTTCTGATATGGGCCACTCCAGTATGTGGTTCTAAATCCTATACAAATCAGATTTTTAAAAATGCGACCTCAGTTTGAACAACATTGTGACTCGAATGCGACTTTTATGTCGCTCTCGAGCAACTTCCCCAATAATATGCGCTGGCGGGAAGCCGTAATGACACCATACGCGTTCCTTCTCTTCATTCTTTTCCTATTCATAACACTCGCTTACTCCCATTACACAATACCTTAAAAAATGAGTGTGTACAGACTCACACCCATGACCTCCATACTGCTGACTTTTATGCTTACATCTATGAACTGCATGCTGCTTGTGCTGGTTTGTTGTTCTCCTGCGGTCACATCAGGGCCATGATTGGTTCAGATTGGAGGCTGATCTTGGCCACAGATACACATCAGATATAGAAAAAAAAAATCTGAATTGAGCACTAAAACTTGCAGTGTGAACATAGTGTAAGAAAGTGTGAAAACATTGAATGATCTGTGGAAAAAACAGTGTACAAGCCATTTAGTGGAATAGATCTTATGGGTTAAAGTTTGAGTGCTTCAACTTCAGTGTGGGAGCTCTAATGCATTTTCATCTTGTCCTATACACTGACCCACCTTCTTTACCATCTCCGCGATCTCCACAATCCCACAGACACATTTGTCCTTTCATTGATCTTTAATAAGCATCCCCTCCTCTCCTCCGCCCTCACGCTTTACTGCCATATTCCCAGTAGTTTGTCTTGACTCCTTCTGGGTGGAGTGCAGCAGCTCTGATGAGTCTACAGGGCAGGTGGAATTGGGTTTTGTGGTTAGGTGTGTGGTGTAGGTTAGGTGTAGGATGTATTTGTGCTTTATTTGTTGTGTGTGTTTTATCTATGTGTATTCTAATTTTTGTCTGTGAGCCCCTGTTGTCCATATGCATACAGTGATGACAGTAGTATGTGTTTGGATATGTTCATGTGTGTGCATGAAGGGGTGGGATGACGGTCTCCTAAGTCCCCAGGCAGAATAATAAAGGTAAATGGATCCCAGATGGCCTGCTTTTCCTCTTTTCCCTGTGTTGTCAGTGATGTGAGAGGAGTGACAAGCTTCTAATGGGAAACAGACTCGCACACTCTGGCTTTGAAGTCAGCCGACATCATCAAGCCCCAGAGTCGAGCTTCTCTTTGACTTGGGGCAGCACCACTCTCTTCCTAACAATAGTAATAAGGAACTCCTCAATCGTTTAATGTCTGCAAGAAACACAGAGCTGCTAAAAGAGCCGGCAAAACAATGTAATTTAGTCACACAGACTTGCCTTGGTCAAAACTTTGCAGCCTCTCCAGCAAAGAAACAATGGTCCTTTGTCAGCTTGCTTCCACTTCCACTAATGGCTATTTTAGATTTGATCATTAATACATGTCATCTCCGGGAGACCGCCCATTGTGGAAATACCCAGTAAGCATTGAAAAAAGCTACCACTGAATAGTGCAGGCAGTTTTCATGAGTGTATTGATGACATGAATCCAAGTTAAAGTGATTTGTTGAGCTTTGAATAAGCTGAGATAGGCCAGATTCAACACAAATGTGTTTTGCCATACCAGTGGCTTAAATGTGCTGTTGGATGTCTCAGTGATAATGTTGTTACAGCCAGTGTGTCCTCCACAGTATTTTCACTGCTGACTGCAGAGTTTATGCACTTTTATAACATTTACATAGTCAGCCGTCCCTGGTAGGCTAGTGGTTAAGGCGCAGTGCTCTCGCCGCTGCGCCCCGGGTTCTAGTCAGGGTTGTGTCAGGAAGGGCATCCGGCATAAAACACGTGTCAACATGCGAGTCGTCAGTGTGACAATTCGCTGTGGCGATCCCTAAAACGGGAAAAGCCAAAAGTGACTTTCTTTCTTTCTTATAACATTTACATAGTTGGAGAGAACTACAGATAATTTATGTGTTAAACCTCTGGAAAGTTAATGAATAGAATTACTTCCACAATGCTGATTGTTTTAAAATCCCAGAGTGCAGATTTCAAAAGTTGTCACTGAAACTTGTGTAGGAGCTCTTCTTCCTGTTGTGTTATTCTACTCTCTTTCTACAGTATGTAAAAAGCTCAGTTTTCTCTCCTTCTATTATTGGAGTTGTGCTGTACACAACCCCAAATTAAAGAAAAGGTTTGGACAATATGTAAAATCAAAATTAAAACTGAAAATAGTGATGTGTAAATCATCTGTGTCCTGTATTACAATGAAAACAATACAGCAGCACATTATTTGAGGTGATGCTTCAATTTTATTTTTTGTTCAAAATAAACACTCACTTCAATCCTGATGCTGCAAACACATTCCAAAAATGCTGGGACAGTAAAGTGTTTACCACGGTGTGATGTTGCTGTTCCTTTTCACAACACTTAAAAGACGTTTAAGGACTGAGGATACAGACATGTCTTCTCTTCCCAGTCTCTTGAAGTTACAGTGGCCTGTGTGTTTGTGTCCCTACAGGTCTGTGGTGATGCCCATCGCCCAGGAGTTCTCCCCGGATGTTGTGCTGGTGTCGGCTGGGTTTGATGCTGCCGAGGGCAACCCTGCTCCTCTGGGAGGATACAAAGTCACAGCTAAATGTAAGCACAGTTCTCTACCACAGACTGCATAGTCTGCCTTTTAGCCTTTACCAAGGTCTTTTTTTTAGCAAGGAATGTCAATAAGAACTATATTTTATGGACCTGTGGATATTCAGAGATACTAATATTATTACTTCTGTCAAGCTCGGACTAAAAGGAGGAGCTGTGCCTTCTCTATACCTCACTTAATCACTAATGCAGCCATAATTATAGGAGTTAGTAGTTAGTATACTGCTGTGGGAGGACCCACGAGGTAAAAATATATGGTAAGTGGTCTCATGATTGCAGCGTACCTGCTTGGCTCTTACTGCCTTGCATGGTTCATACGTGATGTGAACATTTCGATGTGTGTTTGTCTATCACAGGTTTCAGCTTCCTAACCCGCCAGCTGATGTCTCTAGCAGGGGGTCGTCTGGTTTTGTCCCTTGAGGGAGGTCACGACCTCACAGCTATCTGTGATGCTTCTGAAGCCTGTGTCAGTGCCCTCCTGGGCATACAGGTAGGGTATGCTGGCCAGTGGAGTTGTTTTTAAAGGTCTGTGTGTAACCAACAGATGAGGGAAGCACCTATTTTGAGTGCTTGTGGAATTTGAATTTTTGGACTATAAGGGGGTTTGAAAGCCAGGGGAAAAGAGAAGTCTGGGGAACATCAGAGAAATTTACAAACCAAACCTGTGATTTGACTTGGACTTGAGCACTGAGACTTGACTCAAGTGTTGACCGCTTTCAGACTTGAAAGTTGGAGACATTGACTTTTTTGTAATAGGCCAAAATAATTTGGCATAAGATACTGATATTAAAACGTGTTCACCTGCACCTTGCTGTATACGGCACACTTCCACTGAAGTGTACACTCCACTTTTCTGTAAATTATTTTTATGCATCAAATAGCTGAGTAATAAAGTGATGCCAAACACTGTTAGAAAGTTTAGAATATAACATAATGAGAGCTGTGTCAGTTGTTTTTATTAATGTAGACCTTGATGACTCTGACTGGGGTAATGGGGACTTGACCCGGACCCGACTTGGATTAGTCTTTGGTGACTTGGGCTTGACTCAGATTGGAACACCTGGGACTCGAGACTTGACTTGGACTTGGGGTTGAGTGACTTAACTACAGCCCTGGTAGAAAGTTGCTTTCTGATAACAGTATTAATATAGATCTTATGTCTTTAGTCACTTCTTAACTAAGCATTTAACCACTGAAAAGATGCCAGTCTGAAGGTTTGTGTCTTCTTGCCTGCCTCTCTGTACTATAGGATCCACTGCCAGAAGAAGTCTTACTCCAGAAGCCCAACGCTAATGCAGTCCATTCCTTGCAGACTGTCATACAGATACAAAGTGAGCAGCACTAACACTGTAAAAGTCCACTGAGTGTTATGTTTATTCTTTTTCTTCTCTGCCTTCTTCTTACCCCTTATTTTTACCTGGTGCACCTGCAACATGTCTCAGACATGTCCCAGGTGTGGCTCCCCACTCGTCTTTTTTGTATGTGCATACAGTTTATGATGCTGCTTCTGGGATGCTGTTGACAAAAGTTCAACCCACCAATCAGGGAGCTTTGGTGCTTTCCCCTGAAACAACCTTCAAAATAAGTATGGGGGTGAATGTGTTTTTAACAACTGAAACACAGCCACAAATCTTTGATCTGGGTTTCATAATGGCTTAACTATAATTGTTAAGTTTAATCGTTAACTAAACTGTAGTCTTTGCAGTAGTCAATGTGGTAGGAAATAAGAACAATAAACAAAACAGACAAAAAAGAAACAATTTAACTACAAAGCCTATCAATTGTAGAAGCTCAAAAACAAGGACAGATAACCTACACAAAGAATCAGCACCACAGCGAGCCACTCCACAGACACTCTTGTTGGGGGATGCAGGCGCACAGAGGACAGATCTAAACCACATCGCAGACAGAACACGATGCAGCTGCACCTGGTGGAAATGAGGGGTTACTGTTGTATCAACACGTAGCCTCTGGATACGACACAGAAATCAGAAGAGGATCCACATTGGTGTGGCGTTAACATGATAGCAAGTGTATGTGTTGCAGGTCAGTACTGGCAAAGTGTGAAGGCTCACAGTGCATCAGTGGGTATGTCCTACCTGGCTGTTCAGAGAAGAGACTGTGAGGAAGCAGATGCTGTTAATGCGTTGGCCTCGCTCTCAGTAGGAGCCCTCTCCAACAAGAGGTACAACACACACATGTTCACTAACATCACACTTTCACTCTTCATGCTGGCACCAACTCTCTACTCTTGTTTTTAACCATTGCCTTCAGCCTCCCTGACGAGCCAATGGAGCATGACAGTGACTCAATGTAGAAGAATCTGACCATTCACCTCATGGAACTCACTTTCAGGAATGGGGCCCAACCTCTAGCCTCGGATCTTCTGCGCTGTCACATGCCCATGAAGGGGATGTGTTTGTAATGCCACTGAACCCCACCCATCTGCCTTATGCACACACATACACATCCACCGACACACCTCTACGGACGAGCACCTCAGTGCTGGTAACCACTCAGCTGAAGCCAGCAGCACTACCTATAGCTAGGAAACCATCTGAAGCCTCACCAAAGAGCAACATAAGATCATTTTAAAAAGACTTTGTCTCCTGACTAACTTTGGATTGTATGTATGTTCAGAGATCCAGATTGATAGCTCTGTGAACATGAGCCTTGTGGGAACTGACAGAATACAGATGCAGAATGCAGCTCTGATTCTTATTAAAGCACTATGTACCAGCAGCTGTTTTGTTGCCTTACAGTAACCTTGCCTTAATTCAAGGACCAACAACTGGTTTCAGAAGGACAGTTTGGAATTTAAACTCTCTTGTGCCACTTTGTTTCCCATATCAGAATTGAAGCAGTGCTAACCAAATGGGATGCAATGTGGCTGCTGCAGAATGAACCTACTGTATGACATCAGTTGCAAGCATATACTGTGCACATACACCTGGGGGATAAAATGCAAAAATATCAACAAAGAGGATGTGGCCTCATCAAAAAGAAAGAATATGAGGGAAAAGACATTGATGTCATTACAGTACATGCAGTTAAACCACTAAGAGAAGACAATGATGGAAGGAAAGAGAAAATGAAGACAAAATGGACAACTGTGGTTTTGTAGAAACAAAGAAAGGGCCAGTGTCCTTGTTGTTTTATTGCACTGTTCATTCCATAATGTGAATTGTAAGAAATTCCAAAACTCGGGGGGGAAAAAAAATCTGCTCTTCTCTCTAGGTTATTTAATTTTTGAGGATTTAGATGAAATGGTGTTTGCTATATTTTTCCCACTATTGATCTGAGATGTCTTATGAAGTCTGACTGACTCTAAGGACGCGAAGGCCGAAATACTGTACAGTTCTGTTTCCTTAAAGTTAATCTGAAAAGTCAGCAAGATTTTGAGAGCACGATTTCACTGCTGCTCATGTTCCTTGGATGCCCCCCCCCACACACACACACACACGTACAAATGTACCACTAGTATTGAATACTGTATGTTTTTGTGTATGTTTGGGACTAAACGTGCATTCATTCCATCATGGCACCACTGAGGACCATTGTATTGTTCTATATAGTAGCAATAATATTAATGCACTTAAAGGACATCACCCAAAGAAAACTGCCTTAAAACAGCCTGCACTTGGCAATGTGACTGTATGGAAGCAACAAGAGGGACCAGTTTGGATACAGCTCTTAGTGACTCTACAAAACAAACCTGTGGAACATCATATATACAGAGTTTTGTATTCTACTTGTTTTGATGATGAGTGCAGTGAGCTGGCCTGGTTTGAATGTTTTCTTTTTCATTATGTAAAAAATAGTATTAGATTCCCAGGCTTAATCATAGTCTAATTAAAAGAAAAGAATGCATTATTTTGTTTAGAAGTGACCTTGTGTGTTTTCCATATGAAAGTCTTCTCTGTAACTGTGCTTTGTAGTGGCACGTTTTCTCACGTTATCAGACTAGACAATGTCATGCTAAACATTTATTTGATCTTTGATTTGACAGCTTTTTGACTGCCCTGCTATCGGGGCTTGTAAGGGCTCAGCATTTCAAATGTACAAATATCAGTTTGGATGTTATCGTTTCGCAAAATAAAGCTTGTTGAAGTCCATTTTTCACACACAAGAAGTTTGACCAATTGAGTCAGAATAATTACATTTTACAAAATTTGTCCATAAAGAGAGAGATTCACTAAAACTGAGACAAGGAACTTGAAGTTTTGGTTTTTGTCTAACTAGCCACTCCACTTTCATGAAAATTGATGCTTTAGAGCTTTCCTTTGATTTTTTTTTATTTTATTTATTTTTTTTATATCCATGATTGGATTTAAAGCAGCACAGATTTTCAGCTCTGGTATCAAATATTTGATTTGCTGTTTTGTGTGTAAATGCAGCTTTTGTAGAGTTCCGGTTGCAATTATCACAATCAGCACAGCAAGTTCATGTGACAGAGTGAAGTACTGCCAGTTCAGCATGCAGGTGTTCACTTTGCTTTAGTCTGATCCTGGGCATTGCCCAGAACTTTGACAAGAAACAAACCGACAGTAGAAGTCTCACTACTGCTCCATCCTGGTGAAAATGTTGCATTAAGGATTGGTATTCCTCATCGTGTTCTTAATATCATGTGACAGCATTTAAACAAGCTGTCTCACTGACATAGTGTGCAAAACAGGTGCATGTGATGTATATGAAGAAAATGTCTGATTGGTCAATGAGTGTGTGTGTCTGTGAGAGAGTATGTTTGCATGCGCACTAATGCTTATGTAAACTTCTGTCATGTGTTTTGTGCATGCATGTGTGTTTGAGTGCTTGTCAAATATTGTAAATGACCTCTTCTGTATTATATTCCCAGTTTTTTGTCTTACATAGAGGCCAGTATTGCCTCAAATCTTAATTCCCTTAATTAATGATGTAATTTGTACCTTCTTTTGAAAAACAGTCACTGTAAATAGAAGCTCCAAGACCAAAATACACATGTCACACATGTGCCTTGATGCATTCAGTAGTATGTGTATTGGAACTAACTGGACTTAAAATAACTCTATTGAGATCTTTGTTTCATGCTGTTCTTTTTTATTTACTTATATGTTATTTTTCCCTTCACATTTCCTACCATGTGTATGTACAGTATAGAAAGATTGTCTATTTTGTACTGTTATTTTTCTCTTCTTCTTGATTAAAAAATACTTTTCAGTAAAAGCCCATTTTTGTCTCAACTTTGTCCAAATATCATAAGCATATGATTGAATGTGGGAGTCCTCTTCTGGATCTGGATCTGGATCAGGACATAAAGCATTTGATTGTTAAGAGTCAGGTCAAGAATATTTATTGTCATTATGCACAGCACAACGAAATTTCTTCCGGCAGCTCTCGGCTTAAAAGACACATTATTTACATAACACAAAAATTGTACAAGTCAATATAAAAATATGAACAGATAAAAATGAAAATGTATGGAACCTAATCAGGTCAGCAGCATATTAGCAGGAGAAGAATATAGTGACATTCTAAAGTGCAGCTTAGTGCAAATCTGTCTTTAAGAAGAGGTGTGAGCATGTGTGTGCATCTGCAGGAGTCCAGTATTTTATCGGTATCTGTCCGTGGGGGTGAGGTTGTGTGTGTGTGACCAGGGGTAAAGGGGGTGATTGATTTCATAGCTCTGGGGTAGAAGCTGTGTGTCAGTCTGTTTATTTTAGTTTTTATATTCCTGTACCTTTTCCTGGAGGGAAGAGGCACAAACAGCAGCTTCCGTACAACACTGAGACAGAGGATGCTCTCTACTGTCACTCTGTAGAAATTTGCGAGCAACTGAGAGGAGAGGCCAGCGCGTTTCAGCTTCCTGAGGAAGAAAAGCCTTTGCTGGGCTTTCTTCCCCAGATAGGATGTGTTCAGAGACCAGGTCAGGTCAGATGTGATGTGAATGCCCAGGAACTTGATGTTATCCACTAGCTCCACCACCTCCCCGTGTATGAGAGGAGGAGCATGTATTGTCTTCCTCAACCTCCTTTAATCCACAATGACCTCATTAGTCTTGTTGGTGTAACCATGGTAGTCATCACTATACCTTGTTTCTATTTCCTAGTAAATTTCTTGGTAACAAGAATAAGAAATACTTAATGGTGAAAAGCATTATATTTGTCATGAGCTGTGTTTCTAAAAAGTCATGTGACTGATGCAAAGGTAGTTATGAAGGAAATAAATGGGCAAAATGTCTACCAAAGGTAATTTAGCTTAAAAAATATTATCTTAAAACTAAGTAAAACTGTCATATTATTAGAAGTACCACTGGCCAGACAGCTATAGGTGTGACTGACGTGACAGCCTAGATGACACCTTGGACATGAATTTCCCACACTTCCCACAGGACATGAATGTGACCTTGATCCCAGCTGTGAAGCCTCCAGATGACCAGTACAATTCAACATCCTGCTTGAGCGGTCGCCTGTTTAATCCTGGCTCCAGAGAACTAGCAAACCTCTCAGGTCAGTGAACTGAAACTGCACTTGCACAATGAACAGATGTCATACAACCTTATAAAAACTAAGTCGACAGAAGCTGATTGCACTATAAAAATATTATAACATATGAAACATATCAGGCAAGGAATTGTATCATTGAAACTGAGCTATGTGCAGCATGTTAACACTCCTACATTGTTTACTAGTTTTAATGAAACACCAGCTGCATCATGTTCCATCCACACAGGTGTTTTAACTTATTGTGTTTGATTAGACCTCCTGGGACTGTGTGTGTGGGGGCGTAAGCACCACCCCTGTTAGTGTTGTTGCACCAGTTAACTTAGATGTTTAGCCTTATTTTGTGCACATGTAAGCACAGTCATGTAAATTCTCTTAAACCTGAGCAGGCGTCTAATCAGAACAACTGGAAACACCTGTGTGTGAGCAAAACTGTTAACCAGGTCCACTGGTGTTTTGTCTTACCCATGTTTAGTTTAAAATAAAGAGTTACATTAAAAGAAACTGGTAGGTTGAAGACTATGTATCGTTGTTACCATGTATGAGGACATTGTAATATACAATTATCAGTTGGTTCATTGCTATAAGAATTAATTTTTCATTACTTAACATTATAAAATAAGGGAAACAGTCAAAACCAGCTTGGTTTAGTTCTACATTTTGTATTTTTAGTGTTTACTTTTTGTGGTGCGAAACACTTAAATGATTAAACTCTTACTAAAGTACATAACAATAAAACCTGCAGGCTACTAAACAAAATTCTCAAGCTGCACATTGGAATTGAGGTCCCTAGAGGCTGTAAACATTCCCTGAGCCTTTAATCACACATTAGCATATTGTTCTTTTGGAAATTAACTGACCAGGCAGAGGCACACAGACCTCATTAAAAAAGCACAGAGGGAAGGAGGAAGAAAATAAAAAACAAGACAGACAATTTAACAAGACAGGCAGGAGACAAAGAGGGTGTGGTGCCAGAATAACTCCCTGCACTGTTCATCATCCAGTTTTAGCAAAACAACAAGAACCATGGGAACAGTTTTAGACAGTTTTATTTCTCAGACAAATAATGATATGTGTGCTGAATGTGCTGTTACATCTTATTCTGCAGGGATTTTTCTGCTTGTGTTATTTATAATAAGTCATGCTGTATGACCACTGGCCATTTTTTGTAGAGCACCAGACAAAATATACTTGAAGGAAATGCCTCTAAACAACTAGGCCTTCAAGTCTGTAACATGGTGTACAGGAGCTTAACATACATACGTTTGAGACAGAAATTGTTCTCTAACCACAGGTTAATTCCAGAGTGACACTTATTAAACAAATTTCCTTAAAATTATTTTAAAAATTAAGTAGTAGGAAAACAGAAAATAGTAAGAAACAAAAAGAAATTAACACAAATACTGATCCAACCTGACTTGTGCTATTCATTTAGTCTCAGTAAATCACAGCTCCCTTGGTTTAGTTGGACCAGAGAAATGTCCTCTATCTCCACATCCTTCTACATCTGCCTCCTGTTCAAGATGCCTTTTGTTATTCTTAAATAGCCATTTAAGTCCACATGTGAAGTACCTAAAGGTTTCCATGATTACAGCGGTTAAAATGGCAGTAAGCAGTAGAAACAGGGAGTCACTTTTATTCAGCAGCTGAAAAGACAAAAAGGCAGAACCATTACTGCAGTAATCACTTAACCCTCCTGTTATGTTCATTTCCCAGGAACAGCAGTGATGTTCCTGGGTTAACTTTACCATTACTAACCATTTCAATCACTATTTAGTGCAATGGTGTTCTTTACCTCTCACAGATTATGGTTCAATGAGGATAATGCACTCATTTTTCATAAAAAATGCATGTTAAAACTTTTTTTAATGTACATTGGAAAGACGTACATATAAAATACATTATTTTTACATGCCATTAGCTTTTTTTAAAGTTTATTTTACATTTTACATTTTGAAATCTTTTCTTGTTATGAAGTGATGTTGATAAATTAACGAGACACTTCTTCTATGTAATATAAACATGCAGGGGGAGGTTGCAAATATGTGAAATGGACCACTTTCATTTTATAGGTTGATTACACCTATTAAGCCAAGCAGAAGAAATTTCATTTTAAAATATTGTTTGTAGATGTTTTAACTTTACACTGGGCAAATCTGACCCGCAACATGACAGAAGGTTAAGTTCATTGAGAGTTTGTGGAAGTCACATTGGAAACATATCAACAGATTTGCTGGACATAATAATGAAATTCAAAATCCCTACTCCTAAGCACATTAACAGGGCACTGACGACTGACAACATATAATTTTGTATTTCCAAAAAGCCACAAGAGGATAATAGCTCTAATTTAAAATTCATTGAATAACCTAAAAATAGCACAGAAATAAATGTGATATTCTTGATTCACAACATTACGGCAATGAAAAAAGTCAGAATACAACCTTAAACAAATCTGCAGAAGATGACAAATGGGCATTTAACTGAGGTTCAGTGTTGACATAGAAAGGGGCTATTCAGTTATTGTTGTTGCCAGATTTGCCATTTTTTACTTATCAACAAGTAGCAGTCATACTGCCTTAGCAACTACACAAATACTTTATGAAATCTTGTACTAAAATTTCATCTGAATGATTCTTAAGGCCAGCCGCTCTCACTTTTATATGCAATACAAAATGCACATTGGCTGTTTTTTTTCCTCTCTCTTGGCTCAAAACTGCATTCTTGTTAAATGTCAGTTGTCTTTTAATACTGTATGTCAGTGACGTTCTGAGACCACACTGCGTTGATGGTGGGGCTCAGTAAAAGACTTCGTACGTCTTTATAGGAGCTGGAAACATCAGCTAATGATAGGTTGTTGGGCTACATGCAAGGAAGAAGAGATTTGTCATGGATGCGTATAAAATAGAACATATAAACCCTCATTTCTTTGGAGTTTGGTTGTTTATTTTAAATGAAAGCTAAACGTTGCAGGTGATTGTCATTTGCTTGGTATCAGTTCTCTTTCATATAAGCCAAAGTTCAGTGGTGTTGCTTTAGTGCATGTATATAATTTGATAATTATGTATATGAACTTCTAAAGAAAAAGGGCACTCGGGCTATTTTTAAAACTAAACATGGGGGAGATGTGTGCTTATGTGCATGAGTGCGTGCACATGTTTCCTCCTCTGCATGTATGCACATTTATGTGTGTATAAATCAGGTCTCACCTCCTCCATCACTCCCAGTGGTTTATGGGAGCCCAGCGGGGAGCCACATCAGCCTCCTCTTTGATGGTGATGCGTATGATTCATGGCTTTTAGAGACCATTTGTTTTCATTACGCCTCCTCGTCAGCTCACTGTAGCTGTATCACGGTTTCATGCAACGCAAGCAGATTTGGGGCAGAATGAGAGGAAAGTATTTCAAGAAGAGTTATTTTGGCTCTGGAAGAAACAAAGGAGCTTGGTTTGGTGCATAAAGAGGAGAAACTGAAGTCAGGATGATGGCTGTCCGCGGCTACTTTTTCCACTGTTGTTTGGGTTCAGAGGTGGTGAGGGATTCACAAGAGTACTGAAAAAGTAGGAGTTGAAAGTCAAAGGTTCAGTGTTTCTCTTGAAACATTAAATTTTAGGTTTTCAGTCCATGTTCCCTTCTCTCTGGTTGTTGTTCTTTACATATTATACAATTTGATACAGCTGCTAGTCTCAGGTAGAAATGAAATATTAATTAAAATATGAAAATCAATTATGGATGAAAGTATGCATACCTATGATGACGACAGTGATGATGAGGACACTGATGACAGCTACAGTGATAATATCAAGGGTGGTGGTGAGGATGTGACAGCAGAGGTCAAGTTTCAGAACTTGAGAAAGCTGAGGTGTCAGAGGGCTGCAGCAGAACGAGCAATGATGTCACATGGAGGGAACATTTAGTACAGGGTGTCCCTTAACAAAAATCAAGTTGCTGATTTTGACAAATGCTGAATAAAGTATCTTGCCTGTCTTGTCCTTTGTTGTGTAAATAAATACAGGACAAATGTCTTTTCAAAAGCTAGAAGCCATATGCTCTTCACAGTGTCCTTGTTTTGATCATTTGTCCACCACTGTCATTAGCAAACATAGTAGTAGCTGCTGATGCAAGCAAAACAATGGACTCACAAGAACCCATAGTCACATTTGATATGTAGCTTGTCAAAAACAACTGCTACAGTTTTTGTGACAGAGTAGTGGCTTTATCAATCTCTTCTGCGTCAGGTAGTTTTTCCAGTGAGTAGTGAGAGCCCACTGGTGAGCAGACACAGTTCAAACATCCTCTGTGTCTGTTAGGAATATTACCTTCTAGTGAGGAATTCATCATACAGGGAAAAAGTCAAAAGACAAATCTTCCAGGCCAAGTTAGTGACCAGCAGACATGGTTGACCAGGCCCCCTCCATCCTCCAGACAGAGAAGGCATAGCTCAGTCTCTCATGGGCCAGATAGTTACACCCAGCCAGCTTAGAGTCCATCTCGTCATTCTGCAGTACCTGGTACAGAAAGTCAATGTAACGCGATGCTAACTTAAGGGTCTGGATTTTGCTCAGTTTGTCAGATGGCAGTGTAGGGATGATCTTCCGCAATGAGGCAAAGGCTTCATTCAGAGATTGTGTCCGTTGGCGCTCCCGGATGTTTGCAATCACCCGCTGGGCACGTGGGTCTTCAGGGACTGAGAGACCTATAGGACTAGGTCCAGGGTCAGGAGAAAGGGATGGGTCTGCAGAAGGTGGCCGATGGTGAGGGCTCCTCTTGAGTCTCTTGGGTCCAGTCGAGGTGTAGATCTGGATGTCATCTTCTGGCTTGATCTTGTCATCGTCTGCTGATGTGGTGGGAGAAACTGTAGTAGCATGGTGCTCCGTAAATGAACCCATCAGCCGTTTACGCCCGGTGACCCCTGGCATTGCTATGACAACGGGACAGGCATTAGGTGGTGATCTTCCTGTGTTCTCCTTGCTGGCAACCACCCCTCCCTTGGGGTGGTCATCATTAGACTGCTCCTCCTCTCTCATGCTTGGCCACGTTTTACTTCTGTCTTCTTTCTTCTAGATGTGACTTTATCCTTCACACCTTTCGGGAATATCTCCAGTGTTTCTCTCTTTCCTTCACAATCTCTGCCTCTACTCCCCTCCTCCTCCTTTCGCACAGTCTTCAGGAGTGCCCTCTGTTCTGTTGTGTATTTCGCCAAACTTCTGCTGTCTTGTTCTTTTTCTACTTGTCACCTTTACATTTTGTCACATCCAGACATGTCAAGCCAAAATGAGAGCAAAATAATCACTCACTTTTGGATCGCCACGCTGCTTGATCATCCACTCATGTGGAAACCTGCCAGTGATGTCTTCCCAGTTTCTGTGAGTGTACACTGCATCAGCAAACCGGGCTGTTCTCATGTTCTGCTCCTGTAGCCGCATGTGAGACAACAGCAGCCTGAATATGACTTTTTAAAGGGAGAGGACCATGAAACTTTCAGTTGCCCACCCATCTGGCTCAGTGATTGGTCCAGAGGACCTTTTTTTTTTGGACAGCTGAGCTTAAAACAACAAAAGAATGAATCTTAAGCAACTGGTCTGATCAAAGGGATGAGGCGGAGACGAAGTCGTGTTGTACAGCCAACCAAATCAAACCGTTGTGATGTTTGCTTCTTGTCATAGAAGTTGCCCAAGTTTATAGGTTCCAGATTTCCTCCAAACCAAGTTGCTACCATCCCCCCTTTTACTGCCTGGTTCTGTGTCTGCTCAGTTCCCCCTCTCCACAACTTAGCAGCATCAGTGGGTGCTTTTAATATAGTTCAGAGGGGAAAAACACTGTAAAAGAATCTCCACAAATGTTTTTGTTTGAAAGTTGGACAAAGTTCACCTACATTTTTCTGCCACATAGTAGTTCTGTCTGCTGAAGGAATACTAAAAAGTAAGTGATTTAGCACATACTATAAGATTCCAGGCAGATAAAGTAATGTTAGACACCGAGGTAATAAGTTGGATAAAAATAAAATTAAATAAATTTAAATAAATTGTTGCAATCCCGGCAGCTTTGTCATTATTAGGGGTTGAAGATTAATATAAATTATTTTATTTCATTTTTTACTGTGGTTTAAAAAGGGCATTCCTCCTAACAGTGTTTCATATGTGACAAGGTAATGCAGTAGAGGCAGAAATACTTCATTATAATAACCCGTGTGGAATTCTTTCACAAGTAAACTAGTGAGTTTGGACTTGTTTTGACATTTATGAGCACAGGCCATCGTCAGGCCATCTCCTGTACTCAGGACAAACTTTTTTTTTTTTTTTTTTTTTGCTGTTTTATGAATTTGTACATCTCTGCTATAATAATTAAACCTTATATTAGCACAAGGTTCTTCTTGTTAGGAAACAACCTAGACCATATGTTTTATTTTACTGGCAGCAAGTTAGCTGTAGTTTCTAAGCACAGACCTGTAGGGAGGAAAGCCCTGGCATTCAGTCAGCACTGAAGCCCTGAGGTCTAATCACAGCACTAAGGAAGCTATGAGTTCTCTGATTCAGAGGGAGACCTGTGGGACATGATCTTACTTTCATCCACTGAACACCATCTCGAGCAAACCTTGGGCCAGGTCCAATGTAGACTTTGTTCTCCAGACTTCTGGGTGAGCCTCCAGCATTGACCACAGCCACGCCCCCTTTGTTTTGCTCTTTGATGAAGACACTTGTTTAGACAGAAGCACCGTTCGGACACAAAACTGGAAAATCAAAGTCTTTCCACTGAGTCAGCTTAAAGAGGGCTTAAGTCCACAACAAGAACAAGAAAAACCTCCATTGTCTGAACCACAAATACTGTTTTCTTTGTGCACACACCCATGCTCCCCATGACAGCACAGTTTTTTTTACCACAACATTTGCACAAGTATGCATAATGTACACAGCCCTTTCTGAAAATTTTTTCCTTTCTGCTCAGTTTTTTTTTTTTTTTTTTTGGGTCAACCCTGATATTTGATCCAGTGTGATTTTTTTCTTCTTCTTCTTCTTATACTGTACTTCTACCTTGTGCAAATTTGATGGGATAGGCCTCCAGACAGTAACCACCTTTAGTGTCTATAAATCACTGGAGTTGTAGTCTTGTGCCATTGTAAACACGCTGTACACTCCTTTCATAAGGATGTTACTGTGCTGTTCCAAAGCTCCCAACACTCAATGCAAAAATATAATACTGCATCAGTAAAGCCAAGATAAAGGAATGGATGTCATTGTTCTGATCATTTGTATCCAGCAATTTTGAAGGACTGATTAAGCAAACCTGGACTGATTCATTCCAGAAAACTGCACAACACCTGTTTTGACCATTGGTACATTTAGTCACAGAAAGGAAACCATGATCATTTATCTCACAAGACTATAAAAATGGCTAAAGAAAGAGCCCAATTCTTCACTGCAGCAGAGCAGCAGCATATAATAGAGGGTTATGAGTAATTTAAAAGCCTAATTACAACCAAAGGTAATACATCAAAGGCAGTGAAAATCAAGAGAAAATTGCAGATAATTAAATACATATGAAATCTGTAAATATTCTTATTTAATGTTTTTCAGTACCTATATTGTCATTTTGGCATTTACCAGACCAATTATTTGCTTTCAGGCCTCAAATGGTACATGGGAGTAAGTTAAAATTAAATCTAAAAATATACTTCAGAATATACATTCTGCAGAAGGCAGAGGTGGAGGACTCGAGCCACATGACATGACTATAGAGTCAGACTTTAGTCACAAATATATGGACTTAAGACTTGCTTGACTAACACTGATAAAAGACTTGACTTGACTTTGACTTTGTATTCATGACTTGAGACTTGACTTAGACTTGAGCCAGATGACTTGAAAGTACTTTACTTTTTTTTTTATTAAATATTAGCATTTTTCTGGATATTGAGAAGTTACCCTTTGTTTCTGAAACACAACTGGATGATTCCAAGTTCAAAGTTCTCAAACCTGGCAACCTAGCAGAGTGCAGTGGAGCAGTAAAGGGCAACGCAGGTCACAGGATGCAGCTATGGAGAAGCCTAGTCCAAGAATAATAACATCTGGATTGAAGGATTATGTTGTCGATGATGGTAGTAAGAAGAGAACAGCGGTCTGCAAAGTCTGCAGTGCAAAAATCAGCAACACGACCACCGTTGACTTCATCTGTTGCTACAAAACTCACAAGAAAAGGTGCATGAATGTGTTTTTTCAGCAAACGTTAGCTAACCAATTGATCATTCAAATGTTAGTTAGAAAGCTAAGCTAAAGTTTGAGCTGTTAGACCTTGCTTCAAATCAAGATTTTCTGAAAAACATGCCTTTTTAATTTAATTGCTAAAGGTCAGTTTATAGCCTATGACTACACACTTAATAATCAGAGGAGGTTTGTGAAATAAAACAACTTTGTGTAATCACTGTTTTTTAGCTGATTTTAATATGGAAACTGGGATAGGTCATCAGAATTTGGTATAACTTGACTTGTAACTTGCTTTACTTATAGTAGGGACTCAGCTTGCTTGATTCTCACCACAGTAACTTGAGACTTGCTTAAGACTTGAAGGTTAAGACTTGAGACTTGCTTGTGACTTGCACATGTGTGACTTACTCCCACTTCTGGTAGAAAGATACTGTATGTTTTAACCTCCCTTTCCTAAAACAAACAAACAGGTAGAGGTTCCAGCAGTCTCTGATTTTTCACCTGGGGAGGATATGACATTCTACCAAAACAACAAGCCGCCATTGTTGGGAGCATCATAACAACCAGCGCTAGAATGCTGCAACTGTTATACTACTGGTAAATAAAGTATGTTTCACATTTTGCTGTTTCAGATTTTCCTAATTTTATTTTCAAGTACTTCTGAAGGATGTTGTGAAGCTGCTGCCAGTACCTTGTAATGTTTTTTAAAATGGCAGTGTTTTCATAGAAATATTAGGAATTGTTCATTCATTGTTATTCAGCTTTATTAACTACAGATGGTTGAGCATGAAGATGTTTATTCCATTCGGGCTGTTCGGGGTCCTGTAAGCGCTTGTTGGTGTTACATTTTGGACAATGCTCAGGGCATTGTGACTGTGGCAGGAATCCAGTCATAGATGATCCCTCAGCTGCTGGCTCATGCAGAAGGAAAACAGGGAGCTGATGGTAAAGGTTAGTTGTCTGTGATGTACTTAATAGTAATCAATAGTTTGTCTTTCTGTAGGATCCTGTAGATGTACATTGTCTGTACAAGAAGTACCAACAAATGAACATAAAAAAATATTAATAATAACAGGGAGCAAGATGTGCAGTGTCAAGCTATAAAGCTAATGAAACTGGAAAAAAAATCAGATGCTTAATAAATACCTCCTAACTGTCAACACTGTTAACTTGAATTATGTGATGCTTCACCTATTTAAAACTTCTATAAACTTTTTTTAAATTTCATATAATATAACACAAAAATACATTTATTTAGAACATAACATGGCCAATATTTTTATTTACATTGCTTCAAAACAAAATGCAAACAAAGTAATGCTTCACCCCACATTTGGAGGACATGGGTAACAGTGTCACAGAAGGTTAACTTAAATGCATCCAAAATCATGTCTGTTGTAGCACCATCACTGGGTTGGTGAAGACGCATTGGTTCAAAGACATCAGGCTGCATTTCTGCTGCAGAAGCATTTTCTTTTCAAATAGCGGCAGTGTTACATAGCATGCAACATGCCACTGTGATAGTCTATGCAAAATCAAGTGCAACCCTGTGAAGACAATGAAGACAATGAAAGCTTCCCTTCAACTGCCCAAAGGTAATTTCTGCATGTCTGCTAGAAATAAATAAATTAGAAAGTTATAGTTATAGCTGAATTAGTGTCCATAAATACAGTACTTCTGTGCACAGTCTGTTGCCAACCTGGCTGATCACTATTCCTAGTCTTCCCATTGCTGTAAACATCATCGGGCCAGTCGTCATCTCTGTGGATGATGGGAAACCTGTGATGGATCACAGCTATTTACATATCACTGTTACCTTGAAACGG